CATAGTCTAGAAATAACACAAAAAACTTTAATAAAAATTATTTATAAAAAACATTTTACCTACTCTACTGAAGAACTATTTGCAGAAACTCAGATATATGACATCCGTCAGCTCTTCTGTGAATGTCTATTACTCAGACAATTCCAAAATAAAGCTGAACTAAAACAAATTGAACATAAGTATAATACTCGGTTAAAAATAAATCAAACGTACCTACCTAAGGTGAAAAAATCAAATACTCAACGCAGTTTCTGGTATATCGGCCCAAAAATCTATAACAGATTACCTGGTGAAATAAAAAACGTGAACTCGAAATACCTGTTCAAAAAATTAGTTAGAAATTGGATTCATTCACAGTCAAGGAACGATATACACCAAATGATTGAAAACTATTACTTATATCCCTAGCTTCCTGCTTAACCTGTAACATAAACAAAAAGATTTGTATTTCTTTTTAGGAATAAGTATATATGTATATATATATTTTTTGTTAATGTGCTATTGTTTGTATCCACAACTTCCAGTTCAACTCGTAACATTTTTTTTTTTCCTTTTTAGTATATAAGAAATAAATGTATTTTATTATTTAATAATGCATGCAATTAAAATAAAGAACTAATCAGCCAGCCAAAAATAGAGTCTTACCTACCTTTCACGTACAGGGCTTTCCTTGTGGAGTGTAAGATATCTAAGGAGGCGTTAATATTCTTTAAAAAAAATATCCATGCCACATACAAGTTCGCTTATGTGGTCGTCACATGATTATTGACACACTGTATTTTGAAACTGTTTTTTTTTTATTGTAAATTTATTGATGTAAATAAACATTATATTATTATTATTATTATTATTAAACAAATGTTTACCCCCATTTACCCGCCTTAATATGTAAAAATCCAAAAACCCTGCAATACGTTAATATTTATTTATGATGAGTAACCACAATTCCAATTTTGAAGTTCCTATCTTTAAAAAATCAATACCCTCTACAAAGTTTCACCCCCCAATTTCCCCCCTTAAAATGTTAAAATCCAAAAACCCTAAAATACTACGTTATTTTTTATTTATGATGAGTAACTACAATTCCAATGTTCAAGTTTCTACCGTTAAAAAAATATATACTGTTCCAATTTTCAAGTTCCTACCGGTAAAAAATATATACCTTCCATTTCCCCCCTTAAAATGTAAAAAGGCAAAAACCCTGCAAAATGTTATTATTAATTTATGATGAAGAGCTACAATTCCATTTTTCAAGTTCCTACCTTTAAAAAATCGATGTCCCCTAAAAAATTTCACACCCAATTCCCCCCCTTAAAATGTTAAAATTTAAATACCGCGACATTCATCATTATTTATTTATGATGAATAGCTACAATTCCAATTTTCAAGTTCCTACCGTTAAAAAATCTATACTGCCATACAAACGTTCACCTTCCATTTTCCCCTTAAAATAAAAAATGTAAAAACTCTGTATTGCGTCATTATACAGGGTGATTCATAACTATTGGGACATAGGCTAAGGGCAGGTTATTTGGACCAAAATATGGCGATTGGACCAAATATACTTTTATAAATTATGGCTGTGGATTAAGATACAGGGCGTTAAAAAATGCAACAATAGACTATAATCTCACCGCAAAAATAATTCATTGGCAAGAACTGACATTTACCAGACACAATTATCTGACAGTCCAAAGCACACTTTTCATAAATAAAATATTTTTTGAAATATCCTTCTGAGACTCTGAACTGTTCAATTGCGTTTTTCTCGAAAACAGGTGAAATTATCGTGTTTAAACAGAAGTACCAATATTACGTAGAAATTATGTTTACGTAATATTTTCTAATAAAAAGCACTAAAAAGTTTCGGCAAAAAACTTACCACTTAATTTCATCATCAGGAATTATTCTCGTGGCACCCCCTCTAAAAAAATGTTATATAATACATAAAATAATATCCCTTGACCAAAGATATGCCTTTGAGCCGATTTTGATAACAATTCATAAATATACAGTGAGATTATAAAAAAAAAAACGAAAAAAAAATTCAACTTTAACGCCCTGTATCTTATTCCACAGCCATATTTTATTTAGGTATATTTGGTCCTATCGCCATATTTTAATCTAAATAACCTGCCCTTAATCTATGTCCCAATAGTTATGAATCACCCTGTATATTTATGATGAGTAGATACAATTCCAATTTTCAAGTTTCTACCTTAAAAAAATCGATACTCCTAATGAAACTTTCTCCCCCCCTGTTTCCCTATTTTCACCCATTTCCCAGTCCCCCCGACCCCCCATAAAATACACCATTTAAAGTTTATTTATGACATACTAATTTATTTTTATATTACTTAGGCACTAACTCACAATTTTAATTTATTTATTAAAATTCATCGTTTCTGTCCAACACTTAAACTCAATCTTCTTGCCCGTCGACCACTCGCGCTATTTATATAAAGCCCAACTCTGTGCGAGAAAACTCTCGGGTTTACACAACAATCGAGAACTGTCTCTCTATGAATCATACGCTGGAAAGAGATCACTCCGCTAGTTTCTCGAAGCGTCAGCGGCATACCGGGGTTTCGACCATGAGTCAGGTCGCAGACTTCAAGGTCGTGCTCTACAGAGACGGCTTATACATTCCCATGGCAATAGTATACCAAAGGGAAAATCAGCTAATCCATACAAGAACTAGAATAAACAAAAGCAAAATAAAAATATATTACTGGGCATGTATCTATATAACATCAACGATTATTTTGTAAGAGTGTCACTTAATATTTTTAATACTGTATTTTTTATATTATTTTATTTTTCATTACTGTTACCAACCATGATCTTTTAAAATCTTATTTTATTTTAAATTTTATATGCTATATATTAATGTATGTAAAATGTACATTTTACTATTATTTATGTGTACTGATTACTATGTAAACATTTTTATATACGTATTACTTAGAATAAAATATTTCTATTTCTATAATATTTATATCACTATATTTTATCAAATTAAAAATACAAATAAATAGCGCACCGTCATTTTTGTATAAATGAAGGCCTCGGGCGTAAAATATGTTGAGTGACAAAGTGGAGAATTTTTGTTTATAGCTTGTAAAATATGTTAAGTACACATCTATTTTATGGAAAAATTCAAATTTCCCGCCAAGCGGCTCATTTGTGTTATACTGCCATCTAGCAAAACGTGTTAAATGGAATTTATCATGATAGTTGCAAGTAAAACTTGGTAAGTGTCAAACAATATGGTGGCAGTACTTAACATGTGTGCATAATATTTTTAAAAATAGTGAAAAGATGGATACCAAAATGAACGAAAATAGTGATCAAAGTGACACATCGCTTAACATGTTTTATTTGAATTCGTTAGTTTGTATACTTAACATTAACAGCAAAACTATAAATTTTTATTCATTGTTGAGTTAATTAATATATTTATTTAGCAAGTTTTGTTATTTTCAGAATAATGAGCAGAATAAGGAAGGCCAACTCCTAAATTAACTACAGGTCCATGTTTTTATAAAAAGAAGTTATGGTGCTATAATTTCAGTGTACACAGATGTGGTGGTGAAGATGACAATGGGCACTTCTTTTAATGGGATGAAGTGACTGCCAAACGTGGATCTGTCGAGATTGCAAGCTGTTTAGAAAAATATTTTTCAGCTAATAATGTATCTGGAGATACCCTTTATGACTTTTCCGATAACTGCTGTGGACAGAACAAAAACTATGCTATTGTAGGTTTTTGGCTATATCTATTAGCAATGAAAAAATTTAAGAAAATTGTCCAATCGGGTCATTCTATGATGCCAAGTGATAGAGATTTTGGTTTAACTGAAAAATTGGCGCGGCGTCAACATGCAGTATATGATCCAGAAGGATGGGGAAAAATTCTCCGAGATTGTAAAAAGAAAAAACCATTTTCAGTATATAGAATGCTAACTGAAGATTTTCAAGACTACACTGAATATCGACGATATTTTAACCAGAACATAAAATCACGAAATGGAGAGAACTTTTGCATAACTTCTTCTGTAAAATTAGAACTTAATGTGTCTGGTCCCTATATCCTAAAAGCGTTTAAAAATTACCATGAACTTACCCAAAGAGATTTCGTTAAAGAAAAGGGTCTGAGCAATGTCCATTCAGGACTTTGTCCTAAAACTCACTTAGAAATATCAGGAAAAATTAGCGGTGGAAGAAACCAAACTGCAGCACGTTTTATCATGTCTTAAATGGGTTCCACCTGTGTATCACGCCTTAGCATCAATACTGCAGCAAATAATTGTTTCTAATTTTATTGCTTTGGGTAAAAAACATTGTATTTCATATAAAAAACTTTGAGTTCACATTATTTTTCGTACCACCTCAAATTCTGTTAAATACTATTTGTCTTACATAAAGTTGATGTAAAATATGTTATGTAACAATTTTTTGATTTCTTTTTCAATTTGTATGAGTTAAAAAAATTTATTTTGGTAATAAAGGCATATAACCAAACTAGACAAGTTATTTGAGTCGGTCAGTGCAATAAAAGGCTTGAATAATATAACCCCGATTTTATAATTATAAAACAATTAAAAATGCTTGTAACCAAAAAACAATACAATGCCACTTAACAACTTTTACATCCGAGCCCTTCAAATAAATTTTAAAATTTTTGTGTTTCATCTCTCTTTGTTTTCGAGAAAAGAAAAATAAAACCATTTTATTGCATGTCCTTGCAAACCACATAAAAAATAATACAACCTTTATAATATAGAATTGAACTTAAAATTAATAAATACTGGATTGTACCCATTTTCTGTTTTGAATATCAATTATTAATTTTATACTAGAAGTCCTAAATATATATGTGTCATAAAAGTGATATTTTTTTTTTTATAATCTATCAATCGAAAATGTTAAGATGGCTTTTGAAACAAATTATAGCGTCATTTATTCAGATTAATAATGTTGTTAATTGTAAATTTCAGAAGAGTTAGATGAAGACAGTGAAGAGTTTCTGCAACGATTAGCCACGCGTCATTACTATAGCTACACAGCCGCTCTTGGCGTGACTGTGGGTGTGGGATGTCTCCTGTTGGTCCTCAACATGCTGATTTTCGCAGGAATTTACTACCAACGAGAAAGAGATCGCCGTCGGCAAAGCCATTCGAGGTAACTATCATTATCTCACTTTAAATGTTAAAATTAGAAAAAATATGGTACAAAATGTATGTTTTTAATGTTGCAGTACGAGATAACAAAATAAATAATAAGATACATTTAGTTTTTGAGCGTCTGTCGATTGTCTTTAAATTTTAATGTATTATTATACAGGGTATCGCAAATTTTAGCGTAATGTATTTGAATCTCGTTAACTATAAAAGTTATAGAGTTAGTTAAATAAGATAATTTTTACATTACTAGATTCTTGGTTTAAATCCGCACCAACAATTTTTATATTTTTGCTCGTTTTTCTTCCTTTTTATTTTATATTGTTGTTTAAGCAGATATGAAAAAACTAAAAGCAGTTCTTTGTAAGTACTTTTTTCCTCAAGCGGGGCTAAGAGGATCACTGCGTGTAAAGTGGACCGAGAGGATATTAAAAATAACAAAAATGTGTAGTTTTTACAGTAAATCTGGCATATGATGTTTTTTATACGAATTGGCAAAAAAAATATTCTGTTTGCAATACATGTGCCACACTATAATTTTACGAAGTTTCGAGTCTAAAAATCATCATTCATTTGAAATTCAGGTCTGTATTTTTTTAAAAAATAAATACATTTATAACTGGTAAAAATAATTTAAATAAAGTCTATTTTCTTTATTTTATGGAGTTAATTGGAGGGCTATTGTTAAACTAATTAAACTATTCATTATATATTGCATTATTTCTAATGAATTATTACACTTTTAACTATTTGTACGGTTCTTCTTGAAGTATTTCGATTTATTGCAGATTGCAGCAATAGAGTTTCTTATGCCTTGGTCCAATGTAATAACATATTCAGGAGGGTCAAAGCAATGAACTTAATTTTTAATGTATCCTCCTGAAATAAAAATCAAGGTGCATTTGATCGGGCGAACAAACAGGTCAATGTATTAGACCAGGAAGTATATATAAATTTAAGAATAAATAAAGTAAAGTAAAGGAAACTCCCCAACTCAAACGGGGCCGCCTTCAAAGTGACAGTCAGTCTTCAACAGAAGCCACGGTAAAAGGTCACCTCAAGAAGCCTAAAACTAGGTCTGACAGAGTAAGGGTAACCACATCTGCAGCGCAAGCGATAGAAGGTGGCTTATCCTATAAAGAGACACTAACACTCATGAAAATGGCGGTAGTGCCTAAAAAATTTCCCAAGGAAAAACTGACTGAGGAGCAAGCGAATCACACCCAGGAAAAACTGATGGGAGAAATTTTGAAGAGTAGAGAGGGATCAGAGACACAGTTCAAGAATAGATATTTCCACAACGGAGCTCTCTTCTTGATCTGTGTTAATGAGACCGCTAAAACGTAGCTCTCCGAAATAATACCCCAGCTCCAACCATGGCAGGGAGCACAACTTATGATGGGACCCTGTAGCGAGATCGTCCGAACCAACAAAGTTGTGGTCTGGATACTCAAACCCATGCAGAACATCGAAACAACAAAGGTACTTGCGTTTCTTAAAACCCAAAACCAAGGGCTCCAAAGGAACAGTGGCAAGTCATTCACAGACAAGTGGAAGACAACGGTCAAACCATTGTACTGTTGATTGACGACAACTCTCTGAAGGCTTTAGAAAACCTGCAGTTAAAACCCTACCTGGGCCTAACTCAGGCAATCTTCAGAGTGCAAAGGGAGAAGAAGGAAGAACCTGCAGATGCTCAGAATAGTGCAAGCTAATCTGAGACACTGCAAGGCTGCCGCCGCAAGGCCGCCTCCGCAAGGCTGCCTCCGCAACCCTTGCACGTACCATTATCAGGGAGGACATAGACGTAGCCCTAATACAAGAACCCTGGATCTACAAAGGGCTTGTAAACAAACCAAAGGTAAGTTAATATACAATACCCAATGTGGAAACACTAGGGCTTGTATATACACATACGAAATGGTCTAGACATCCTCAACTTACAAGATTTCTGTTTTAGAAACCTAGAAGCAGTTAGAATGGAAATAAACATAGTAGGCAACAAGAGGCCACTCATTTTAACCTCTGCATACCTTCTTTATGACTCGCCCAGCCTTCCACCAACAGATAAGCTGAGGGATCGAGTAGATACCTGTCAGGCCGGAAACCTGCAGGTACTCATTGCTGCTGACGCAAATTCACACCATATAACATTGAGCAGCAAGGACAACAACAAAAGACGTGAGTCTTTACTTGAATTTATTCTAACCACTAACCTGGAAATATTGAATCGTGGAAACGAACCTACTTTTGTAACCAGTAGACGGAGCGAGGTTATTGATATTATCCTTGGTTCTTCCTTTGTTTTAAATCACATCGGCATATTCTCATAGAAATCGACAACGTCGATAAACCAGGAGATAGTATTTTAGATCGAATTTTGAGAGAATTTTTTAACAGAGAAATCAAGGTTATTAATAAATATCTCGGTAACCGTGTAACATTTTAAAATTCTATTTAAAAATGTTATTTTAATTGTGTGACATCCTGTATAAAATAGTATTCGAGTAATTTGTTATTTAATTATCGGCGAAATCAATATGCCTAGAGGGGGAATTTCTCTAGGTGGGGATCTGACTGGCTCATTTAAATTTATTTCCACGGCATCTCTAAGTGCCAGCAGTGTAGTAACTGTAAAAACAGCGGTGAGTTAAAAATGTCATTAAAAAATATCTCAGTAAAAACTATATTTCTATTTCTTGTTACTGACAGGTTTATTTTTTTTAAAGTCAATTTAAATTTATTAAATATACTTTAGCAATTCAATAAATGTTTTTAGTTTTACAATATATCCACAAGAACATCATAAAATGGAAAAGTAAAGATTGTTTCATTTAAAAATAGTTTACTTATTAACAAAAGTTTATTTTTAATTTCTTTATAATGTACTAATTATTTTATTTAATATTTAGGCAACTCACAATTCTAATTTATATATTACAATTTATCTTTTCTATACAACACTTACATTAAAAATTAGCGTCTACCAACAAACTTGCACTATACAAAAATGTATCGGTCTAGAAAAGAACCAATCCTGCTAGAAGAATCTCGAAAGCTTCCTTTACGCGTCGAACCGCATACCGAAGATTCCAGCATCGACGTCTCGAGTCTTTGTGGTGGACAGCAGCTATTGCCAACGCCAAACTCAATGTCTCCTAAACATAAATAAAAACAGAGTCGGCTTCGCACGACAATTGCTTTCTTGATATTTTGTTTTTAATACTCCAACACTAGCAATAATTTGAAACTTTTGAAGGTGGATCTAAACTAAGAACTTGTTTAGGTAAAACTTCTTTTATTTACACAAGTCTATAACTCTTATATTTATCGAGATTCCAATTCGTCAAGCTAAAATTTGGACACCCTGTATAGGACAAAAGACGCAACTTTGTTATGAATTTAAATTTCGCAGCTATAAGCAATTCTTTTTAATAAATATAAATAGGTAATGAGGCCCTGTGGAGCACGTCTGACATTGACAGATCGCTCCAAAATGCCCGCTGCTAATGCTCCATATTATTACAAAATTTATTCATTTATTTTTATTTATTTATTTATTTATTTATTTAGTACACCACTCATCAGTTAAAAACCAATTACAGAGTGGGATGAACATAAATTAAAAACAAATACAATATACTAATGACTAATGATACTAATGATATTACAAACGAGTTAAGAACATCAGATATGACTGAACATGAAACAAAATAAGAAGTACAATAAAGCCTATTTTTAAGGAAAACTGAAGGTAAAATATTCAGTTATATTTAAGTTCTTAAAGGAGCATAAAACAAATTTTAAAAAATTAAATTAAAATAAAATAAATAGACACAAAGGATATATTATCAACTTACCAAGCAGGATGAACACCTACTCAGTTTCTATGGTAATAGCTCTAAAAATATCTATTTTCTTACAACTAATAATATCCAAACTGTCTTGAAGGCGATGATAATTATTGATCATTTGAAAAATTGAAGAACCGTTCAAAATATTTGTATTTGCAGCTGGCAAGTAAAAACTTAAGTATATTCTAAGGCCAGGGCGGGGTACTTTAATGTTGATATAATCCTGAAACTCAATGCAGTTTAGCCCTTCATGTAAAATATCCCATAGGAATGAAACTAGCTGCATTTTACGGCGTAAGTGCAGTTCCATTAAACCAAAGCACGACAACAGTTGATCATGAGGAAATCCTCTAGCAGGATAGATATTGTCTAGAAGATATGATGCGGACTTCATAAATTTTCTTTGCACATTTTCAATAGCGCTACTATAAATGTTAAGTGATGGATTCCATACAACTGACGCATACTCAAGTCTAGATCTAACAAAACTAATATATAATAACTTCATTGTATGTATATTTTTGAATTGTTTGGAATTTCGAATTACAAAACCAAGACTCCGTAAAGCACACATAACTGTCTGCTCAATATGCCTTGCGACAGTTAATTTCCTATCAAAATGGACTCCCAGATCCTTTATAAACTCCGGCCTACTTAACACAGTGCCATTGATCTGATAATCAAAGGTGAAATATGATTTTTTCTTAGTATATGTCACAACACTACATTTACCAGGATTCAAATGCAAATAATTTTTAGTGCACCATAGCAATAATTCAGCTAAACAACTTTGTAAAGCTGTGCAATCTATAAAGTTCCGTTTTTCAGCAAACATATTTAAATCATCAGCATACATTAAGTATTTTACTTCTGTGCTTTTGCCAATAATGTCATCAATAAAAACTATGAAAAGAAGGGGCCCAAGCACCTAACCCTGCGGTACACCTGAAATTTGCTTAAAATGGTTTGATCTAAATCCTTGGTGTTGTACGTACTGACGTCTATTTTCTAAGTAAGAATCGATAAGTAAAAGAAGATCAGATAGTCCCTTAGACTTTAATTTTTGTAATAGGATTTGATGATCAATTCTATCGAATTCCTTACAAAAGTCGGTATAGATAACATCGACCAGACTTCTTCTATCTAAAGCCTCTGCAAAAAATTGTGTTTTGCACACAAGATTCGACATAGTGGACCTACCCTTCATAAATCCATGTTGGTATTGCGATAATGAACCCGAAAGATGTCTAAATACGTATGTATGAATAATGATTTCAAATACTTTGGAGAAATTACAAAGTATGCTATCAGTTCTATAGTAGTCAAGATCATCTTTGGTTTCATTTTTATAAACTGGTGTAACGCGAGATAATTTCCATAGATCAGGAAACATGGCAGTTTTCAATATTAAATTAAAAATAGTACACAGTGGGGTTGAAAGAATGTATGCGTAATCTTTGATGAAGAAGGAAGGAATATAATCAGGTCCCATTGTCATTTTTGGCTTTAATCTTTTTATAGTGTCCACCACTTCTTTATCAGATACATGATTTATAGATAAAATAGGTAAATTAGCAGAAGTTGATTGAACAGATGCGATAGTACGTGTTGGTAATGTAAAATTATTTAAAAAATGCTCTGCAAATACCTGCACAATATCTAATGGATTATCCAATACATCATTATTAATTTGTACTGAAGATGAAAAGCTTGAGGAGTTCTTAAAAGAGTTTACGTATGTCCAAAATTTCTGAGGGTTTTCCTGAATAATATTTTCCATTCTTTCAGCATATTGAGAATGTGCAAACTTAACTTGTCTATTAACATTAGTACGTGCGGATTTGAATTTATTTAAAGCCTCAAGAGAACCTGTAGACTTAAACCGACAATGTGCTTTATCTTTTTGTTTGATCATTTTGGTAATAGACTCATTAAACCATGGAGGATACATTTTATTACTAGCTTTCTTGTTTGGAAGATGTCGTGAAAATAATTCATATAGTTTTTCATTTTTCATTCACATCAGTTATATTATTTAAAACTTCCAATCGATAGATTGGAGGTCAAAGTAGAGAGTCGCGTACTTGGCTTTTTTAAAATTAAATTCTACTAAAAAAGAATTATTAGTTACATTATTTATTTTTTTATATTGTGATATATTTAATTTGAGTGCTAAATGATAGTCGTCTTCTTCTACAATAGTTTCCTCTTACAACTTCACATTGGTCGTTATAAAAAATGAGGTCTAACATGCGACCAAATTTATTTTTAACCTGATTTAATTGTGACAACTCGAAGAAATTTGAAAAATTCATACCAGCACTCAGTCTAGTAGAAAAACTAGGACCAATAATCTGAGCTGTATATTCAGGAACATTGAAATCACTTACTATCATTAATTTCTGATTATACAGAATAGTAAGCATCGAAATATATTCAAATGCCATTTCATAGTCCCTATTAGACGTGGCTGGTGGTATATACAAAATTAAAATATTAATATTTACATTACGAGGTTTAATTTTTATCAGTAGAACATCAATATTGATGATAACCTCAGTAAGTGAAGTTATATATAATATGTTTGAGCATAAATCTTTTCTTACAGCAGCTAATAGTCCACCACCTCTCGAGGTACCGGTTATATCATATTTACGGTCAACTCTATAAACATCAAATTGACTAAGTTCAAACAATTCCCCATCCATAATAGTACTATTGCACCATGTTTCACATGTTTCACATGTTTCACATGTTTCACATGTTTCACATGTTTCACATGTTTCACATGTTTCACATGTTTCACATGTTTCACATGTTTCACATGTTTCACATGTTTCACATAATGTAATTTTGCAGATCTCGCCAAAACCGGTCAAACTCCACCCCCTCCACGGAGACTATTCCGATGTCACAGCGTCCCTCGACCCCCGGAAGTTCAGCTCGACAGTCACCGATCGCGCCCAAGAAAGAAAAATCCGGTGATTTCCCGCCTTCGTACACGATGGTCCCCAACAGCTTGACCTGCTCATCTCTGTCTAGAAAAGACAAACCTCCGCCTCCGGTTAGAACCTCCAGTAACCCTCCGGGCGGCACCGTTAAGAAACGGGTTCAAATCCAAGAGATTTCCGTATAGCAGGAAGGTGGGGGTGAGTCACGGTCCAGTCCTGCGAAGCCTAGGAAGCCTGATATCACCCCTGAGTGCGAGCATTGTGATTTGGTGTCTGTACAGTTATAACAGGAAAACGACGTTTGTGTTATAGTTTTAATGTAGGGATTTTTGGGCAATTTTTGTACATACTTGTAGGAGTAAACGTTTTTTGGAAAAAAATTCGCCACTATTATGGATAAAACGTAAAAATTGTTTGATTTTTGTTTGAATTAATTCTGGTAAGAAACAAAACTATCTGCGTCTTTACAAGAAATATAATCTTTATCTTTTTTATTTATAGATCTGTTCAGTGACGTAATTAGAGAGGGTTTCAAAGGGGGATTAATCCCCTCCCATGAGCCTACGAAAATTATGAACAAATTAAATAAATGCCTCTTCATATATACATATGTATAAATAAAATTTTTAAAAATTAAGTATTTTTTTCACCAGTAATTTCCCTAGAATTTGAATTATTACCGGACATATTTTCAAGCACACCATTTTTAAAAATTTTCGTAAAATCTGAGATCTTAAAAATGTGTCCTAATAAATTATCCTCTTTCTACACGATGTCAAAAGGGTGGCTTTAAGGAGAATTGAGCTAAGATGGGATGAAAATTTGTGTGTACAGACGAGGGTCTGAATCTGATACGACTTCAAATTTTCGAATTTGGATATCAAAGCGTATTTGCGTTGATAGCTTAATTGGCAGAGTACGGACGGCTCAAGTTCGAGGTTTCAGGTTCGATTACCGGCCGATGCACTTATTTTTTTTTTTTCTTTAATTCTCAGCCTTTTCAATTTTTCTTTAGTTTGTTTTCACTTTGGGGTTATGAAGGTGTAATTTTCATAATATTTTAGGGGGAATTGGAGATTTTTCATTTTCATAACGTCCAAAAATTGAATTTCGGAAGTATTTAAATGTTGCTATTCGAAGTTTTTACACCTTTACTATATTTTTGAAAGTTAGGCCGTGTATTTTTTAATTAATTGATTTTGTAATTGTATAAAGGGGACATGTATTTACATTTTGCATTATTTCATAGCTCCGCTAAATAAAAAGTCTATAGTAAATGTGAAAAAGAAATAAGCTGTGCATTTTACAAAAAGATTTTTAGTGTAATCACGTTTAGGGTATACAGGATGAAGAAGATTTTTGAAAATATTTTCTGTTGTCATAGTAACGATTGCAAACAACTTTGATTAATTAAATAATGTTGGTGTGAAATGTTCATTGATATATACTTTTTTAAGTTAAGAATGTAATTAATTTTTATACTTGTTTTTTTACCACATAAAAGATATTTTCGTAATTAAAATGTGGAAATTTGGAAAAAGTATATAGAATTTAATACTTTCATGTACTCCTTTTGCAAAAACTATCTACGCCTCTGACTCTGCTTTTTGAGGATAACTCCTAAGGGTGTCAATTTCTATGGAGATTTAGGTATGTTTGGAACAGGGAGGTATGAATCGGAGATGTCATACTGGTTTATCGTCATACTAACTAAATGACGTCCCAAGCTAAGCTTATTTCAAAGTAACAGTGAAGATAAAAAAATTCAAGGCTATTAGATAAATTAAAAAAAATGTAAACTTGAAATTTATTTATTTCAGAAAAAAATTGTAACCAATTTTTAAAAAAGCTAAGAGAACAATTATTGTAAGAAACAAAACAAACAAAAATCCCACTGTTACACATGTTAAAAACAAAAAATAATCGAGGTATAAATAGTGTACGTATGGGGACTATTCAAGTAAAAAATGTATATACATCAACATTTAAATCCATGATCTAGGTAGTAAATCCTTTAATGACACCCCTATGACTTAATTTGGCTCTGGACTCAGCCATTTACATTTTTGGAACCGACATTAAATCAGTTATAAACGGGACTTTACTCCGAATTGTCCATTTGAACACCTTAATTTTTTTAAATTTGCGAGTTGTAAAACAAACTCATACATATTTTGTGTACCATCCAAAATGTATCGAACGAATTAATCATTCTCATATTATTATCTATAATTTAGAGAAAATAAACCAAGTGGCCATCAAAATGCAGTAAATACAATAAGAAACTATACAGGACAATGTTGCAGCAGCGACAACTTCTATAAAAAACAAGTAAAACAAATACCATTTAATAAAGATCCCTTTTTTGGGTGTTTACGAGTAGTTGCAACTCTTAAGGAATAAAAATGATCAAAATATTTAAAATTATACTAATTTTGTCAGCTACTTTTGCAAGTTCCTACAGTAAAATATGAAGTAGAAATAAATCTGGATATGGTAGAAATTAGAAGACAGGTGTAACAAAAATTAATGTGGTAAAATTTTTTATTACTACTACAGTAAAGTAAAAAAATAATTTTACTTGCTTTATAAAAATGTGAATAATTGAAAATGTTACCAGAGTAGGAAATGCATTACTTCTCAAACGAATCAAAACTAAGGAACGATCTATTTTTACCTGTATCTGTAACGTGTAGAGGGTGGGTTAACCCACGGAATTTAGACACCTCCTAGCTCGTGAGCCAGCCTACAGATATGATGTAGTTGATAATCTCGCCAAGAGGTGTTAGCCAATTCACGCCAAACACAAATCTAATAAATAAGAGTATCGGGAAATCGTAGTAGATATTTCCGCATTCCCTACAGAGTGCGACTTCTGACAACCTCATCTAATGGCAATGACCAGTCAAAGGCTCCCTGGCATCTCTGCAGCTTCATGTTTCATCCTATATTTCGTTGAATTTCACAAGGGACTACTATTTAATTAGGTTTGTTACTACCAATGTTGTCAGACCAATAGAAGGGTCAGTTCCAGAAAGTATTTGGTTGGCTGCCTTCTTGGCTAGTAAATCAGCGATACGATTACCTTTCAATGTAGCATGACCTTTATTCACTTTAAGGTGGCTACATTGTTGATAAATACTTCGACTACAGTTTTGTAACATTCTAGTACCAACCCTAAGTAAATTCGGGTGTGTCCAGTGATAATGTTTCTGGTTTCTTATTTTGCTGCTGTCAAAATCCCAGCGAGCTCAATTTGAAATACACTGGCACTATTTTTCACAGCCTATTTTATATTTAGGTTTAGGAATCTGGGGCCTTATTTTGTTTTAGAACCGTCGATGTAGATATGTATCGTATCTAATAATTAATTAATTTAAAAATAATTTATAACTTTTACTAATTTTCTAAAATAAACAAGAAAAAAAAAAGAAAATAAAATTCATTTCATTTCATTTTCTGCCCATCCGGGATTTGAACTAGAGTCTTTCGTATGAAAGTCAAGAACGCTGTCCACACGACTATCCATGCACTTAATTTGTTTGCTTTAATACTCGTAATTAAATTGACTTCTTATAGTTTTATTTAAATTAAAAAATTATTTATAATTATAGACAAAATAAAAACAAAAATGATATTTATGGATTCTACACAAGAAAAATCTGATGTGTCCAACACATGACTTTCCTATCTAGTTATTATAGGCTTTTTCCGGTTATTTTGTACAACCTATTGCAGCATCTCTATAAATGTTTAGAGGATAAACTAAATATACATATAATATTTGCCTGTCATCGCCTGTCTTTGCGTCATTGCCTGTCATTGCCTGCCATCTCTAGTGTAGATATATTTAATTGAGTCCCCCTTATGAAAAAGCCAGCGCACGCCTATAAAAACCAATCCAATTTTCGGTGTTTGTCTTATTAGTATGTTTACTTAATTTTATAAATTAGTAAAAGTCATAAATTATTTTTAAAATAACTACCTTATCTTAATAACCTCTAAATAAATTTTAAAAATTTCGTTAGTTAGTCGTAGAAAAAATTTACTTTACAACTGAACTGCAAAACTACAACTACAAAATGGCCCATCATAGTCACTCTTGTCGTACAAACTGCGATTGAATACACTTACCGATGATATGTTTTTGCTAAAGATTTCTTCTTATCTACACCAGATATACTGGAACAACTAAGTTTTGCAAAACGCACTATTATTATAATTATTATATTGTGAATTTACATTAATTTTTAAAGATAAATTACTAAATTGTAATTAAAAATACAATATTATGACATCTACAGATACAAATGTAAAAAATGTCATACCAAACGGCGAAAGTTGTATTGGGTAGGTATACAGATCCATCCACGATACTACGAACACGGTCAAACTGATGACCAATTTACCCTTGTCCGCTACTGTCATTTCAAAGCTTTCGCATGTGACATATTTGGAATAACTCTATACATTTCACGACAGAGTTGAGTATTAATGAATATTTTATAAATAAATGAAGATAAAGAACAAACATAACATATTTAGACATGAAAATAGCGAAATTTAATAATGCAACCATCAACCAAAATTTGTAATAATAGACAAAATTTTGAACAAATTTAATAGTTGTTGACGTAGCGCAGTGGGTAAGGTGTTGTACTTACAGTCTACCTACGCGGATAGACGTAGGATCGAATCTCAACGCCGACGTTTTTTTTCTTTTTTTTTTTATTTTATTAATTTTCATTTTCCTTTTTCATTTCTTTTTTTTTTCTTTTTTTTTTTCTCTTTTTTTGAGACCCTCCACAATAGTAAGAACAGCAACAGTTTAAAATTTATAAAAAACAACTTTGATTTTGTTTTCAAATGGAAAAAAATTCAATACAAACATTAAAAAATAGTGAACAAACATTGAACATTAAAAAAACAAACAAAACGAACTTTAAAAAATTACATAACTAAGATTAAAAAAAAATACAAAACTAAGATTAAAAAATTACAAAAAAATAAAAATTATAAAATGGAATCCAATAGACAATAATAAATTACAATCAATAATAAAAGAACACGAATTTATTTTTAATGTAATAGGTACTCAAATAGACCTCCTTCTTGGGCAAGACAGTACCCCAAATGATCGTAAAATGATCGCCTTACTTCAGCCAACATATTGGGACTAATAAGTTGAACGGCTTCTGAAATTTTCACTTTCAGCTCATTTAAGTCGTTAGCTCTTTCTTCCCTGAATTTGTATATCTGAGACTTTAAATAACTTCACAAAAAAAAAGCACAAGGTGCGAGATCCGGCGATCTAGCTGGCCACAGAATTGTACCTTTCCCTGATAAAAATCTGTTGGGAAATGTTTCATTTAAAAAGTGCTGCACCGTCACACGATTATGCACAGAACATCTGTCTTGTTGAAACCAAATATTGT